TTTCCCTTCTCAACTCTTGCATCTCATTTCCAACCTTGTTCTCAATTGACAATTTTTCTCTCTGAAACCTTAAGAACTCAGCAAAATGTCTCAAAATTTTAGAGCCACAAATGATTTTCAGTAAATTAAAACATTCTATTTTCTCATAGAATAAATACGGAAATATGCATTGTTGTATACGAAATTTCCATTGAGTTCAGCACAGGTTTTAATAGAAATTCCGTCATTTTCAAGTACACAGTGTCGTTGCAAGAACTCTACGTTTTGCACAAAAGAAGCAATTTAGGAAATTGCAAGAGAAGAGATATTGAATTCTTACAAATACCTGTTCTTGTCATATGCGGAATTTGTATTATGCATAGAAAATCTATTCCAAAACACTTCTGATGGGCTTTATGGAAAAGGTATGCAAAATCAATTACTTGTGCGGTTCTCCGTCCTCTGATGGAGGCCTTTTACACTCTAATTCAGTTAAACTTAATTACATTGACGAGAGCATGTGTAGCTTCAATTAATTAAGTGATGGGCAACACCATTTCGCGATTTTCATTAATTATATGTAGGGCACAAATACTTTTCAGCCGGCCCCTCTGCAAAGAATTAAATGGCATTTTTTCCGGGCGGTGCCTTGCATGAAAATCCCACGGACATATCCTTGAGGAAGCCAACATAGGGTGCCAAAGAGTTTCGCAGTGTGCTTGAACACAGCGGGAGAATAAGTGCAAAGATAATTGAGATACCCAGGAAAAATTCTTACTTGAAACAACATTAAAGATGATTTGGAATGCTAAAAAATGAATGTGAAAATACATTATGACTTTCAAATGATACACAAATCTTCTGGGAAGGATAATGGACGTTCGGAAGTGCCCTCCTTAGAGATTCACAGCGAGTTCGGGGAGTTGTACAAGGAAAATGCGGAACGAAACATGAAAATGAGGCACAGAGAATCTCGAGCAAGGAAGAGAGCTCTGGAAGATAAAATAGTGAAGCGAAGGAAAAAAATGCTGAGAATTATTTTTCTACCCGGGTGGAGATGTAGAAAGTGAGCGGGAGGAGATCGAGAGAAGAATCCCGAGGATTAAAAAGGGAAATTGTGAGAAAGGAGAGAGGAAGTGAAAAATATTTCACTAAATATACTCATTCCTCGCGTCTTAAACTAATTCAAATTTAAAGTGTTTCAGAGGGGAAAAATCGTAAATCACTTGGAGCTTGGGGATGGAGAGATGCAAAGGAGTGCCGAAGAAGGGTTTCTAGCTTCGAGGATGGTGTGGGAAAATCGCCTTTCTCGAGTATCCTTCTCTCCATTATTAAAATGTCGATTTGAATCCCTCGTCACTCGTCACTCTAACTCCCCAACGGACCATTGTGACTGTCGAAGAGTGTAAATAAATGTAATCTCACACCAAGTGTTATCGGACTGTATCGATGACGAATCCAAATATTGTGATATAATGAGGCGTCAAGACTTCATCTCTTTATTTATACATTTCAATAGAGATTCTGTGTTGAAATATGAGAAGACTGCGCATCTCAGCAAAGATGCAACCATAGATTAGTGCTCTCTTTTGTCTCATAAATCACAGCAACGCCAGACACATAACGAAAAAAGGTCCGAGCGCGAGATTCTCTGCTGAACACAATGCTATCAGCGACATATGAATAATTTCCATTGCCAAAGATCGCCAAATTGAGTTGACTCATTACATTTATGAAATTATATTTACATTTCACCATGCTGATGATGCCACGTAAACTTTTCCGTGCCTGTCCAACTGTCGGAAAAAAAATTGTCACATTTGCTGGACAGAAATACAGCGCACGTGAGCATTTTATTTCAGCAGAGAGCAAATTTTGAAAGTAATCATTTATGACACATATACGTATTTAATGATATTTTTTGTAATATTAAAACTGTATGAATATCTTGTTTATATAAATAGCAATTCTGAACAATATGGAAAAGTTTGGATCATTATTTGGAATTTTGTTGGGCGAAAGAGAAATTTCAGTAGCAATGTGCGAAAGTCGAATTTAAAGTTTATCTTTTCTATAAATGTGCAGCAATGATATGCTAGATATATTTTCAGTATTAAACCACAGAAATTTAAAATGAAATTCAGCTTTACGTGTATTATACCTTAATTTGGTGTTTATCAATCTGAAATTAATATGTGAAATAATAAATCAAACAATAATAATTATGACTAATAATCATAATTAACAATTGTGAGGTTTAATGACTGAATCAAATTGAAATTTGGCTGGAGAGCAAAATGTTTTATTGGTGAACAAAAAAAGTCCTGATTCGCGCAGATACATTGAAAATATTGTGCATCGCTTGAGGGGCAAAAAATACAATTTAAAGCGTATTTGGCACGAGATAGTCAAATGAAGTGCTATAAACTGGGAATTTGGAAGCCAGCGGATATAGTTTCACTAAATCGAAGTATTAAAAGAACTCCATGTTTCCGGTTGAAGTGTTAATTATGTGTGAGAATTAGGTTGGGCAGCCGCGAGGCTCCACTGCATGACCATAAAGAGGGAATATTTGAATATTCCTGCATTCACAATGAAAAGAGTGAAACCTTATCTACTCAAGCTCACACATAATTGACTTAGCATTTACATGCGCACCTCCATTCGCCTATTTCCTTTTTTATCCTCTTGCAAATGAATTGAGATTGCAACTTCAAAAGACGTCAGATTGGATGCGAAGGCAGTATGCAAATGCTGCACATCGAAATTCAAATTCTTCTCTCATTTTTTCCATGCGCCCCCCGAAGGACTATCGCGAGGCTTGCGCGAGCAACAATGTTTGATGTAAAGTTAATGTCTGCACCGTGGCCGTGACAAAACACGCTCAATCAAAACATTGTGGCTAAAATGTGCGGCAATTTTAATTACACTCAAGTCCGTGGAGGAGCTCTTTTTGCCCACCAACGAGCAGCGTTGCGCCATGAGCATGTTAATGATGATGGCAGAGTCGACATCCGGCCAAAGATTTCATCTCTCACCGCCGAAGACAATGGCTCTCGAGCTCGCCCAATTGATGGGCGAAAGTTTCTCATGAAAAGTTGACCCTCGACCACACAAAATTTCACCCGCGTTTCCCCGATGATGGCAAAAACCGGACCGAAAAGGATCAACTTCAGCTGATTTTCTGCATGAACTCATTGCTCCAAATATTATCACACCACAGAGCTGATAGAGGAGCTTCGGCAAACGAGCACCTATTTTGATTTATGGCTCTTTGCAAAATGCTTACCTCTCCAAAAACTGTCATATTGTGATTTATTGTGAAGCATGCGGGAAAAACTACAGTGTTTTTGAGTGAAAGAGCGCACTTCTCAAAGGATAAAAATTTTCACGTTGCATCGCATTAACATAAAATAATCCTAGGTACAATCGAAATTAATTGAACCCAAATCGCTTGCACCAGAAGAGGAACTTAACGATAATAATTTCAGTGAAATAAACGCGGCACTTTTTTCCATAGAAATGCTTCATAAGTAATTGAATTAAAATTGAAACAATTTAATTACAAAAAAGAACATTACATTTTTCCTATATTAAATTAAACTTCTGTCGCATTGTAAATTGAAACATGTATTACAGGAGGTATTAAAAATTTCATTAATGTTACACATTTCCTGAGTGAATAATTGGCGAATTTGTGTGTCAAATTATTCATACATAAAATTGATATAATTCTATAATGCCGACATGTTTCACATATTGTTTAATTTTATCACAATGAATGGTTCATGTGGGGAATTGGAACATTGTATTTTGTGTCTTCCGCCAAATCTAAAGTCTCAATCTCGTGTCTTTGTTGTCTCACGCTGCAATGGTGGTCTGATGGACAGCACGCAACTAAATCTCCCACCGCGGAGTAACATCTAAATTACCCCCAGTAAATGAGTGGCACATTAAGTGCATCTGATTGATACTCTGCGCTTATGTGGCACTGCCACCAAGTTCGACGAGCCACTCGCCATTAATCGTGATCGTTGGAGGCGTGAGGGAGGCTCAAAATTGCTGATAAATGCGTGACTGCGATAATGTGATTATGTGAGAGCGACACACAGTCAAAATATGCCTCAGATGGGAGAGAAAACGATGATAATGGTGCGATGGCAAGGGTTTGGCGAATCATGGGTGCAAATATTGGCGTTTTGTTGGATGCTCACAAGTGTGCTGATGGCAATATCTGGCCATTCAGTGGGAATAAAAGGAGAATGGCTGGCGGAGCGGCATCTGTTCGGCCGGCATTCCACACACTTTTTCACCACTCGGCCACCCTTCAGTAAAAATTCATCATTTCATCGTGAAAATTGTCGGCTATATTCCTTTTTGACTGTGCGAAGAAATGAAAAAAAAAGAGTGGCGCATAAAAGGCAAAAATGTTACCATCGTCCTTTTCACCACATAACGTCGTCCCGGTGAAATACCACATCAAACCCGCGACAGGTCAAGCCTGCGGGCGAGTGATAAAGATGTTCCAAAAATCGATGACTTATGAACATGGCAGTGGTTTTTCGGCGTTCAACTTGGCAGAAGAGTAAAAGGGCGTTTTGAATCATTAATCATTAACCGCGGTGTACATGTTTGATAGTCACTGAGCCACAGAGTCAAGCGATAGAGATGTTGAAATAAAGACAGTATAGAAGACTTGTCAATTAATTAAAAATTATCAAGGTCTAAGCATAATACGGTTTAGAGTTTATAAGGAGAATCTTCAGTGACAAATATTTACATATTGCTTATCTACATTTTATCATCAACTGCTAAGACTCTCTGTGTAACTTTTGCTTACCTCTCCGTCAGCCGAGAGTGTCTAGCATATGGGCAAGAAGTCTCTACGTTCCACACGAACAATTGCTGCGCCTTGCGATGGAATAAATTCTCCTCCTGAGGTTAATATATTTTGCGAGCTCGTGAGAGGAAAGTCGTTAAAAGAGAAATTACAAAATGCGAAGATACTACTTTTTATCGCTATGTATTCTTTATTAGACTTAAATCCATATTACAGCAAAGTATAATCTCATGGTTTGTCACCTAGAAAAAAAAAGACAGAACGAGCCACTCCATTTCGCCCATTCTTCAACATAAAATTTATGTCTGTGTAATTCTTACAGTAAACTTGTCTTCAGCACACTTAAATTTTACATAATACAATTTTTCACTCTCTGCGGCAGAGGGAAAAAATGTTCCTCCCCCGAGAGTTAATCTCACGTGCTTCTCAGCAGAAGGAGTCTCGCTCCTAATCTGTTTAAATAAACATGGTATTTATCATATTAAAAAGAAAATGCGGTGTGTGTGCGCGCGGGGAAATGAGGTGATGTGGGGATTTCGGATGGGAAATTATCTGCACAAATGGGAAATTGAGAGTCTGGGTGTTGAAGATCTAAAGAGTGTGTTGTTAAAATTACAATCTCGTACATTTTCATCTCCTAATTTAAATATTATCTTATAACTTTTCTCACTATCTTACCTTCCTAAATGTACAACGGTGATTCTATATATTTTTTTCTCTTCTATTGGATGAAAATGACTTCCTTTAATAATTCATTAAGTCTTCTCGTACTTTTTTCTCTCTTCATTATTATTTAAATACTTGTCATGTAGTGATCTTTTATCGCCCGTGAATGGCTTTTTCCACTCCCTTTCATCCCTGTTAGTCAGGGTTGGAGCTTGTGTGAATGTGGTTAAGGGTGGTGGTCGTGATGGTTCAACATTTTTCTCCTACTCGCGCGAGTCATCGTCGTTTCTTTTGAAAAAGGCACCAAACAATTAACAATAATTTTTCATTTTTTTCCAATTGAATCTCTTTTCTTCATCTACAACTATATTTTATCATCATTACATCTCATCTCAATGTCTTCAAGCTTTTCTCTCTCTCTCTCTTTTTCCACTCAGCCATTTTCATGTCAAAGTTCTCCTCTTTATAACTACACATTTACTACTATTATTTATATGTTTAGTTTGATATTTCACCTGCGGGAAAATCCACTCTCTTTCCTTTTAACTCCACTTCTTGCCTAACTGGCTCTGTGTCAATAACAATAAAGTGTGATGGCATTCAGCTCACAATTCATTAAATCATACTCCGCAGTTCCTTTTCGCTCCTCCGGAGGTGCACCTCAAATTGAGTGAGAATTTTGAGGGTTTCCCCTCTGCGGCTCAAGCGACGGAGCTGAATTAATTACAAAAGCCATTGAAAATGATAGAGATGGATAATGAAATGCCGTGAAACAAGAGAGCATCCAACACGAAAAACCTCCACAGTAGAAAATTATTACAATTAAGGTAATTACCACTGCTCAAAAAATACACATGTCAGGAAGAGGGGTGAAGGAAAAGTAAATAGTCATCATAAATTTCATACACTTACAAATACAGAAAATTTGGGGGCATCAATCCTAGGAAAAAAGTGGCTCAGACTTTGGTTAAGATACGCATTGAGAAGCAATTTTCTCGGCGGGTCTTCGTCTCTGGCTAATGAGGAAGAAATTTATACTCATCATTTGTGGTATATATTTTTTGGTCCTTCAAGCCGGATGAAACCTTTTTGGCTTTCTATTATGTAGATGTATCTAATATGGCATCTCTCTGCAGAGTCTCTAAAATGCATAATGCGACTGTTGGAATATTTGCAAATAACACTCTCAGTGATTATGGAAATGTGACACCCAGAGTTTTGTATGGACTAAATTAAAGCTGAAACGATCACTGAACAGATGGCGCAAACATTCCAATATTATCGTTATTTTTGCATTTCTCCCACCAATTTCTTCCCCTCTGCGAAAATTGCTCCTCCTTGGAAAACGCTGTGTGATATTCTCCGCACAGGAGAGACGCGCCCCGTGATGCCCTCTTAAGAAGCTAACATATCACGTGAATGTCTAACTCACAAGCTGAACAGCTCGCCCGAGTCCTCGGGACGCGGCTCCACTCATCCCAAAGTCGGCGCCTGCTTGCTGGGCGGTGGCGGCGGCGGTGGCAGACACAGTTCGTCCGTGATGCACACGTGATCGTCGATGGGGAACTTGAAGTTGATCTCGTTGCTGGTGATCGTGGCCGGAGGATCGATGCTCTTCTCCGTGGCGCCGAGATCTGTAATGGCATCAGATTTCACATTGATAATAAAATGCCGAAGTTCTCATTTTGCGGTCCATAATTTAGACACGGATAGATTCAAATCAACGGCTGCAACAGTTTTCTTAGCACAAAGTTCCAAAAAATTGTGTCTCAGTAAATGCCAATAAAATATTTCTTTGGTCAGTCGAATAAATTAAATGTTGTTTGTGAATTTACCCAAAATTCTTTACTACAACTGTATGATGAGAAATGTTTCGCAGTTTTGCCAACAATATATTTCTTCGGTCAGTGAAAAATAGATTTAATATTTAATCCGAAACAAATCACTGCAAAGAAAAATGTTTTGGTTCACTGGTTTTGACAATGAATTGAAAATGCAAAATGCCACTAAAAATTAACAAATTATTCAGTGCATAATTGGGTAACCATATATTTTTTTTGTAATCACATAATCCAATATTGATTTAACAATTAGGCATATGATTTTGTCAAAAACAATTCGCGCAATATGCGAAATACTCTTTTTACACCAAATTATGGTAATCATTTTGGCTTAATTAAATTTTCACTGGATACTCTGGGCGCTTTAAATCAAAAATTTAACAATGAGGGAGATTAAATTAGAAAATAGTTTATGAGATTTTGCATGCACAGAAATACGTAACACACTGAAAATATCTGTGTTATGTAGGAACTCTGAGTAGTCTCTGTGATGTATCTAATCTCTCTGTCCAGCGTCTCCTCTCCACATCACCAGAGCACCGTGGGCGAGTGATTGGCCCGGGAATCTCCTGTGGTGAGCCACAGAATGAGTGGCGAGCATCTAAATGCTAATGCAGCGGTAATAATGGATAAAATGTGGGGACCCACCTCTCTTGTCCTCGTGAGTGTAGTATCTGGCCCTGTGGCGTGAGTAGCACACGACGATGCTCAGGATGAACATCGCGAGGATGATGAACACTAATCCCGCTATTAGGGCTAAAATATTGAGGCTGCCTGCAAAGAGAGAAAGAAGTGGCGTGGTGAGAAAATGGCACTGTGGCCATCGGATGAGAGTCCGGGCCGACTTATGTATATTCTTAATTAAGTCGTGATTAATTAATTAATTTATTCAACACCCAGGCTAATTAATGTGCTCCTATGGCCCAACAGTGGGGCGCGTGTTATGTACAAATTTCACTCCGCTCGCCCGTGTCGCCTGGGCTTTACGACATGGGCGGGAGCGAGCGGTGTGCAGAATTCTTGCCCGTACCTTGACTGAGGATGTTCCGAGACGTGCTTGCGGCATTCGTGTCCTCATCCTCCTCCTCGTCCACAGATATACAGAAGTCCAGTCCGGCGCCATCAATGTCGGAAATTTGTGTGCCTCTGTGGCTCTCGGGCAGGAAACAACTGGGAAGTTTGCTCCACTTGAGCTGTAAAAAGGTATAAAAAAAAAGTTCCCCACTGTAAATAATTTCTCAATTCCGTCCTCCACAACCCACACACTCGAGGGTGTGTTTCGCCCAGGAAAACCCACTCTTGCTTGACACCAAACAGTGTTATTTAATGCCACTGACACTCTCACAAGTTTCATTTTGCAAATTAAATTATGACATATTCATAAAGTTTTCTCTTGCCCAAATTAATCGTAAAAATGCAGTATAAAGTTCACATTTTCAACGGCAGAAAAAAGTCACAGGTGAGGAAAAGTCTTCTCATTCAGAAGAGTCGCTGATGAAGAGTGAGAGCGGCACATTTGGTAAAATATTCACCTTTTCATTTTCACTTCAGAGTGTAATTTAATATTGACCATAAAGTGATCACAAAAGGCCAGAGTTTTGTGTATCATTCATACATTTTTGAGAGTAATGAAAATGAGCAGTACACATTTTCGCAAATATGCATGATGCCTTTTACGACGGCAAACAAAGTCACTTAAAAGTTCATCTGTGTGCGGATTGTTATCCGAAAGTTTGAGATTGTGTTGTAAATTCCAAATTCTCTAAACTTCATATCTGAATTGCGTATGTGCATAAAGTCATCATTAATCCACTCTGCAGAGTAGCTAAATCACAAAAGTATATCACATTTCTAATCCGGAATCCACTCCATCATCGTAATTGAAATGCTGACAAAGGTAAATCCATGTGTCACTCTTCTTCAGCACGAGCGCTTGGTTTTATTGGCACAATTCTTTCTCCTACCGCGAAGACTTAATAATTTTTTCATGACACCCTAAAAAGTCTCAAGTTGCCACCCGAAAGTGATTCTTTATGACTCATACCGTGTGAGCCCTGTCGATGAGAGCGCCCATGTGGCATCGATCGCAGGTGATGGGATTATACGCCAAGTCCACGTCCTGCATCTTCACCAGGAGGTTCACGATGCGCATATCGATGCCCTTGATCTGATTCCGCGACAAGTCGAGACGTTGCAGCTGAGACACGCGTCCCAGCATCTGCAGACTGGCGTCGTTGAGGTGATTGCCTGAGATGTTGAGATCCCGCAGGTGCGGAACGCTGTCCAGGAGAGTGGCCGGCAGATATCCCATCTCAGCCACTGAGAGCGTCGTCAGGCTGCCCAGCAACTGTGGCGAGAGTGAGAATTCATTACAAAGCGTCGCTCAGGTCAGAGGTGAGACTCATGGGAGGCCAATTAATTCGGTGAAATGTTGCATTAAATATTAACTTTCTAATATCATTTACGTGTCTGTGTATATATTGAACATTTCGCCACATCTAATGCAAAGTTTTGGGGTTGATGAGGTGAAATGTGGCTCCCCTGAGGTTATATAACGGCAGAGAAAGCATAGTGAATTCTCACCTGAAAGGCGTATTTGCTCTCGACTAGATCCAGCTGCAGATGACCACTTATGTTGAGTACCTTGAGGCTGGTTAGGGGCGTCACTGTGTCCATATCCAAGCCCATCAGCTTGTTGTACGAGAGATCCAGGTGGGTGAGATTGTTGAGGTTCTCAAAGGACTTGCTTGACACCTTCACGATGCGATTGTGTGACACGTCCAAGTGCTGAAGGCTCCTCTGGCCCTCAAACAAATAGTCCACGAGTACTGAGAGCTGATTCCCATCCAACTTGAGTGTCCGCAGGCGCTTCAGATACGTAAACTCTTCCTTGTCTAAAAATCTGAACAGATTGTCTCCTAAATCGAGTTCAGTGAGGTGCCTAAGCAAGGAGTACAGCATGGGATTCACTGTCTTCAGCTGACATCGGCGACATCGGAAAACTTTCAGTTCCTGCACATCTCTGAAAACCTCCGGCTTGAGATCCACCAGAGGATTCTCGCTCAAATCCAGCCACTTGAGGCTGGCCAGGTTGAGAAATTGTCGTGGAACGAGCTCTTCAAGGAAATTCTCAGCCAGATTCAGCGTTCGGAGTTCGTTCAAGTATCTGAACGAAGCACTCGGAATCCGGACGATCTTGTTCCCGGACAAGTCCAATTCCAGCAGATTGTCTTGACCCCTGAAATTGTCCTCCCGAATGCTGGTGATGTTGTTCCGACTCAAATCGAGCACCTGGAAGGGATCAAAGCTTATCTTGATGATGTGTTCATTGTCACACCTGTTTGTGTCCATTCACCTTGAGATTCACAACGCCCCAGAAGGTGTGCTGTCCGATGGCTGGCACCAGGGAGTCTGTGACTCGCAGCACCTCGAGGTAGCGGAAGTCATTGAAGATGGGACCGATGCTAATGTGATTCCTGGGGCCTCGGATCACAATCACCTGAGTGTCTTTGTCGATTGACGTCACAGGAATCTCATTCATTCCGCCTGATTTCGTCCCATCGAAGATGATTCGACAGAAGAGGCATTTGGTGGGAATTGATAAGGTGTGAAAATTGAGGTTTTTCTCCCCTTTCCCTCCCGCAATATCTTCCGGCCTTCATTTGCAAATGGGGCGCTCGTTTGCCAACGAGGGCTGTTCAACTTGATTTTTATTGCCCCACTGAGCATCGATGCAGCATCTGAGAATTTTCGGGGCCTGATTCGATTTCCCTAATTCGGCGCGTGAATGTGTGTGTGTGTTGGGGTGTCCCCCGTTCATGAAATATTCACACTTCTCCTCCACTCGGGATTTCTTCGATTTAAAATGGAACTGATAACATTCTTAGTCAATTGATGTGCAGAAGGAATTCACAATTTCTCTCATAGTTTTTCGTGCATTCTAATGTCATGCATACAAATCAGACTAATTATATCACTCTGTTGCATGGGAACCGCACAATTTTAATCGTCAAATTAGAATATAAACTTAAACCGCGTCTCCTTTGCCAGAAATTTATCGCCATATTAACTTCATATTATTCTCTCTTTCACCAGAATTGCTCGGCATTCCCCGAATTTCCCCATCGTGATAATCTCCTTCTGCTCCACGGAGTCTTATTTCCGCCAAAATGCACATTTCAACGGCGCTCAAAAGCCACAAAAGTGAATGGCAGTGCAGTGGCAATGTGATGATATGCGGACGGAAAAATTGACGCGCCAGGAATGAAGAATCCCATCGCGTTGAACATCCCTCGGGAGGCATTTGGGACTGAGATAGAGAGATGTGCCAACTCACCTCCTGTGCAGACGGTCTGGTGGCGTCCTTTGATATCGGAACTGCAGGCACATTCTGTTGGACATTTTCGGTATCCAGCTCCGGCCAGGCCGTCGAGGAGTGTCAGCAGAACAGCGACGACGAGTAATTGGGTTAATGGCATTCTGCAATCAGAGATGAGAATTGGAAATCTTTAATAAGGACACATTTCAGTCGCGAGAGACTTTTATCATCAAATTTTTGCCTTTGCCAAGAAGACATTAAAACAAGAATCTCTCTTGTTTCAGGACAAATTTGAGAAATTGATCGGCGTACAATTTCATAAAGCCACGAGGGAGAGTGCTCGTTATTTATACATTTAAATTTACCCTTTGCGCAAGGAAAATTGCATAGAAACGTCTCTTTTCGCACACTCAAAGAGGTTTTCGACAAAAAGACCGTGATAAATTTCCTTGTAAAATTCACTTAAACGAGCTATTGAGTCGCAGTTTAAGTTAATTTAAGGGCTTCACTTTGCAGGCGTTTCTTTTCCAAGAATCACTCGGTTCTTTGTTAGCAGATGGCATGAGAATTTTGCAATATATATCGTCGTCAGATTGAAAACATGTCATGCGAGAGCTTTCGTGACTTCATGTCACCTCATTAATATTGCACAATCATGTGGTAAAGAGTTGAGATTAAGTACTACAAGCAAATAGCTGAGAGATTACATATTTTATCATATAATATAACCTCGTGTAGTTAAGAATGGTTAGAAAATGTCAGAGATTTAAGTTAACGATTCCACAAATTTTGCTGCTTCAAAAATTTATTAAATATGAAAATATTTCAACAAATTCTTTTATCTACTGAAATTCAACATTATATTCAATCACTTTACATGATGAAAACCAACAAAAAGCGTGTCATTAAAGCAGAAAAGCCATGCGGAATCGCATTTCATGATTTTCCCATCAATTCTGAATATTCCAACACTTCTCTCAATATTGGCATCTTTCATATACGATGTGCAATTCTATAGCTTGAGTGATGTCTGTTCAGCAGTAATCGAACACGCTGCCAATCCTATGCCTTCAACATCTCTTCCTCAAGCGCTTTCTCCCATTCTTCCAATGGGCGAGAGAAGGAGTGGGATTTTATGGGAAATAGATAGCTCACATTTTATGGGTGTTCATTGGTATTTTATCATTACAGCACTTGGATATTTTTAATGAAGTGCACGTCTGACCTCACCAGACCGCTCTCTTTCACCTCAGACACCATTTAATTTGCTCTGCCAGTTGTTCGTTTGGGTGCCGAAGGAAATTGTCTCATCATCAGAAATGTGAGGTTTACGGCTCACTGGACAATCATGCCTTCATCTCACCAACGCGTTAATCTCTTTCAGATGACAAACGACGTGTCTCTTAATTGTTTACCATTCGTCCAATGTTGGTGTGCTTTCTAATGAAATTTGTCCCGTGGCTTTTCACAGGCGCTCATTTCCATGTTCTCACTCGCTATTAAAGAGCCATAAAACAGGGCCTCATATTAGTTTTTTCTGGTGCCACGCCGATGTTCTAATTAAATGGTTCTCGATAGTTAAAATTAAAAGCCATATCATCGTTTATTAATAGCACCAGGCCTCAGGCCATCGCGTGGGGATGAAAGTGGGAGGAAAGAGGCACCAGAATCTCAAGTGGTTTTTCATCATTTCCTCCCCAGATTCCATCAGCAGCGGAGGAAAAGAAAGACATTACACAAATCTGCATTTTCAAGTGTTGAGTGTGGCTCTTTTTGCCTTCACATAACGCAAGCATAATATTGGATGGAATGAGAAAGGAGAAGGCACATAAAAAAGCCATACTTCCACTTGTGATTCCACATATTTGGAGGAAAATTGTTCTTGATATAATGTGTCGTATTAATTTGAAAGTATAAAACATGTTTATTTTGCTGGGCTTTGTGACTTGTGGCGCACGAGATTTTCAAATAATTCTGATAAGTAATAGCGTATAAAATTTACCATAAATTACCTCATCTAATTTTGTATTCAAGGCAGAGTTTGAGGTCTGTGTTCCTGGGGCACGACAGCCCCCCGGACTCCTTTTCCCCAAGCAATGTATGTATGTATATAAATCTTAAGTTGGAAGTTTTGTGTCTTCAGAGAGTTTTGGGCGGCACTGAGAGAAATTTTTTGCCACACGCGCGCGCGGGGCAGAGGAAAAAAGGATAATCCGACCTAGAGTGCGAAAGGACGAAAAAGAAGATCAAGAGGGAAGACCAAAAATTGCGTGCGGATGGGAAATTGAGAATTAGAGATTGAATGCTTCCGGTCGAATTAAAGGGCCATCAATTAGTCGTTATGGCATCACAAGAGCTCCAAATCCCCAAATCATCACGGGCGAGAGATTCCCTGAATTTGTCATAAAAATCCCCATGAATTTCCCATCTTCGCCGTAATGCTAAAGGCATATCAATGTGGCAGTCTTGGTGGCGGTGCTTTTCTCCTGACCACATGAATTTGCAATAAACTGTGTGTCTCACACACACAGATTTTAATTGGCACAAAAATTACTTCTGTAATATATTCGCGGCAAAAAGTGTGGTGAGGAATTTCAAGCGCTCTCAAGTGGACTTGTTACGAGGATGGAATGTTTGTTCAAGGAAAAACTGGTGAAATGTGTGGCGGGAAATTTGCAGGAAAATGAGCAATTTCCGGCAATGTTTCAGGAAATGACGAGAGGTGCTCTTTTGCAATGCGCGCGCAATATTTAAATTCAAACGCAACGGTATTGCGAGTGATTTGCAATGAATTGCTCTGGGAGAAAGACCAATAAGACGCAGTGACTCGACAGAAAGTCTGACACATGTGATAACGATGAATCTCGCCTGGAATCTGTGAGCCATCAGCAACCTGCCGAATGAGATGGGGAGTCACTGGGGAGGCCTTGGAGACACAAACATTGTGGGCGAGGAAGCTGAAAAGTGTGGGAACTGAATCCTTTCCCATTACACCATGTCAGCGTCTGTGGGGATTTATTATTTTTCACATTATAATCATTTTTTCTGTAGCCGCATGGCTCTCAGCCACAGACTCGGGCGAGATTTCCACATCTGGTCACACATAGGGGAGAGGGAGAGACGGCGAAGACGGCGTGCAGGGGCTCGGAAAAAGTGGCGGGAAGGAAAAACGTGAGGAGCCTGTAGCACCACATTAATTTTTTGCCCGCTTCTCTTCGCCTCCCTCGAGGCCAAAGGCACTACATTACGATGCTGTGCTTGGGTACATTCTATGAGCACGATGATGTATGAAATATACACTCTCTCTGCGGTGCATTTAGTCGCACTCAGTCTCCTGGCGCTCCTTTCCAACCTCCCTCCGCTGCTCTTGGAATTAAAAGCTAGGCCTGGGAAAAGCCAGAGATGCTGATGACATGAGAAAGTGTGGAACAGGAAAAAAGCGACTAGATAATGTGTGCATTATTTTCGTTGGCCTGAGAAAATAATTACGGTGTTGTTTGTGCACCATGAAAATGTTGCATGTCGCGGTGGAAAATCAATTATGATGTCACTCCTTCGGGCAATATCATCATCACAAGAAACTTTATAATGCCTTATTTCGTGAGATTTTCCCCCAGTAAATGCAAAAACGCCAAAGTATGCGGATTTTCATTTTATCATGGTAGGTATTTCTGGTTGAGTGAAATAATATTTCGCTGGAAAGTTTTATTCAATTTTCCAATCAATATTCAACTGGCAATGGCAAAATTGCAGGAATTAAGTTAAGAGGTCAATTTGCAGAAACGACAGAAATTGAACTCCCATTCATTTGTGCGCATCTCGCAGTTCCTGCATCAATATTTTTCTCCTTGTTCAGAGCCCGGCAATACATCACGAGCCGCAACGCAGACGGGGAAAATAATATTCGTGGATTTAATTGAAAGTCTCAGGGTGGAAAAAGTCGTCTCGATCATGCTGGGAATTTTAATGAGGCACTCTGTGCAATTGCCGAGGATTCAGCGATATGGCGATGTTGTGAGAATCCCACCGCAAAGTCAGTTGGGAAAAGATGAATTTCTCTGAAAAGGCAAACATTTGCTGAAGATGCGCTGGAACAGAAGGAGCGCTTTTTGAAATCCTGCGGGAGGGCAGGAAGTGTGGAGGATGAGATGAGAGATCGACATGTGTCTAAACAAATCGCTCTAACCGGATCCACTCCTTCGGAGAATTTCTTTCGCTGACGTCAATATGACGCCGATGGAGCAGAAGAGAGGTCTTTGTTGGCGCGATAAACAAGCCCTCTTTTTGCTCCGGGATCACGGGCGTAAAGGGAACTGATGGGGCGCAGCACTGATCCCCTGAACACAGCAGCCTCACCTCACTTGATACCTGGAGGCGATGCAAAAAAGTCAGCAGGTGTTTCCGACCTCTCTGCCAACGAGTTTCGCGCGCTGAATCGTCCACGCTGAGGGCAATCAGTGCACAAAACGAACGACAGAACACAGTTCCTGCACTTAATGATGCATTAAATTGTCAAGAATCCATTCGCCGAGCACAGCTTGTACTCTTCTCTCCCATATGTGTGCAACAATAAACCTGGAAAATGCTTCACGTGGAGGATTTGTGGGGGGCGGACGATGGGCACTCGAGAGAAGCTTTGCAAATTCCATGAAAAATACAACCATTTCCATAAATTTCCCAATTCTTGTGCGCCACGACGTGCCACGCTGATCGAGGAATACGCGAGCAGCGGCGGCAAAATTTCACTGACAACTATTTATGGGATTCCATAGTTTATGGCAATTTAATATGGAAAAGCCTCGAATTTTCATGCCAGGAATGAAAGAAAAAAATCAATCGGATAAATAAGTTTGTAATTAGTATTTTACTTGTGCCCATGCTAAAATGCTTCTCACATTTCTCTCTCTCTCGCTCATCTAAGACTCCCTTTGCAATTTAACCCAATTTCACACTGACTTTTCCATCAGAAACCGTCTCAAATTTATTAGAGCTCACGAGCAAAACTTTCCCAAATGGCTGGGAAATATTTCTAAGCTCGTGTTTCAAACTAACGTGTGGAAAATTGCGAATGTGATTCTCCTGGCAACAATCTCCAAGGTACTCTCTGTCTGCAAGGTGAGTGTCTCCACCACTAAATCCACATGAGAAATTGATCCGGAGC